CCCTGGTCGCATGTAATGCATGATACCGCGGCTGATGGGATAATTGCATCATTCCAGTGTTGCTGATAACACGGCGAGGGTATGGACGTGGCTTGACCTTTTCATATTAGCAGCTTAATTATTATATTATTTCTTTTTAGCAGCCGACTCTTATGAGATGATTTAGGGTAACTTATACTGGCATCAGTACGGAGGGAAAATGAATTCAGCAGATACACAAAAACAGAAATGGGTGTAAGAAAAGGATGTGGCTCCTTACCGGAATTATTCAAACTATACAGTGAGGCGATTCTGGGATTATTAGAAGTCCCATCCGCATTCAGCATTGGCGGACAAAATCTTAAGAATATAAGATATGCAAATGACATAGTGTTGATAGTAGACACGGAATGAAACTACAGAATCAGGCCTGAGATAGGACAAGAACATTGTGGATTTTGTATTATCATTGTTTTTTTCCTCTATATCCTCTTACGGTAAACTCTTCAAAAATGATATGGTTCTCTTCAAAGAGTCTGGCTTTCAGTGACCGTATATATATTTCCCCTGGTCGCATATCACGCATGATACCGCAGCTGATGGGATGAATGCATCATTCCAGTGTTGCTGATAACACGGAGATGTTTTGGACGTAGCTTTCTGGTTTTGAAATCTTTGGTTTGACCTTTTCATATTAGTTTCAGGTATGAGGGTGTTTAGTATGAGGGTGTTTAGGGTAGCAAATCGCCTGCATACAGAGGGAATATGTGTTCAGTAGATATAGAAAAATAGTAAGAGTTGTAAGAGAAGAATGTGGCTTCTCACCGGATTTATTCAATCTATACAGCGAGGCAATTCTGAGAGAATTAGAAGTCCTACTAGGATTCATTATTGGCGTCCACAATCTTAACAACATAAGATATACAAATGGCACAGTGTTGATAGCAGACACAAAAAGGAAAATACAAGAATTCCCACAGAAATAATGAAGGAAACCGAGACGAAAGGACTAAACATCATCTGTAAGAATAGAGAATGAATGATTGTTAGCAAATGAAACAACCCAACATACAAATTATAAATTGGAGATACCAAAATCAAACAAATACAACAATTTAAATATCCGGGAAGCGTTTTAACAAAGAACGGAAAGTGTGACACTTATATCCTAAGGGGCATTGTGATGCTGATAGTTGCCGTTCAAAAGCTAAGCAAAGTATTAAGAAACAGGAAAATTTCGTTAGAAACTAAGAAAAGTGTACTGGATTGTTATCAATTCTATATAGCAGTGAATGCTGAACAATCTCCCCGCAAATGAAGAAACTCATCCCTTTCCGATTGCTGTTTTCCTCCTACTTTTCTTAGCATGATGACTTTTAAAAAGACCCGGATCTTGACCAGTTGCAGAGAAGCCCGTATCTAACTAGACATGTCAAACTGTCCCGCTGCTAACGGAAAAACGAGGAAGTAACTGTTGTTGATAAATATGTCTGCATGCGGTACGAGACCTCTTTAGCATCTGTACTAACGTGCCTTCGCCACATCTGTGATGCAAGAAAGGGTGATGGAAAGTTTTCACAGAACTCCAATAAATCTATCGAAATGTTGATTGCTGCTTGTGATTCCACTTGCATTTGTCAGTAATGTCTGGATCATAACGGACATCAATTTGAAAACATGCAGTGACAAAATCTTAAGAAAATGCATGTCTAATAAATACCGTCTCCATACGCATTATTTAAATTGGATATAGTTGGTGGTAGTTGCTTGAATTATTTCTTGAGAAAGCCTCAAAATGTGTAAGTATTTTTCGAGTCACACTGTATATCATAACAGGTAGTGACAAATAGATTATGTACCAGAAGTTTCAAAGCAAAATGCAGCGGTTCGACAAGGGTATTTCTTTAAAACTGCCTTCAAAATGGAAGAAAGGGAATATTGTGTATGTGGCGGAATTGTTGGAGCATAATTCATTTAGATTTCTTAAAATGCAATGAACTAGTAAATGCACATTTATACGGCCGGAAACTGCAATGTGTCAATAAAACATTGATCTAAAACGCCTAGCGCTTGTCAAATTGGAAAATGTTTTAATCTTTCATGGCAACTTCAGGCCGCATACTGCAATAAAAATACAGAAAAACAGTTTTACTTGCTTCTAATCCATCCGTGGCATTAGACTGAACTTACACCAACCGATTATTACCTTCTGCGATCGATGCAAAACGCTTTGATGTGGGAAACGGTCTCTTAACAAAAACAAGATTCAGGAATTCGTGGAAAACTTTTTCAACTTCAATATCTGCGGAACTTTACTCAAAAGGTATCAAAGAGCTGCCTGATAAGTGGCAACAAGTGAAATGGTGAATATATAATTGAATAAAATGCAATTGCAATTTAATTTTTAATAGTACATTTAATAAACAAAAACGGAAATTACTCAAGACTCTTATAATTAATACCAGTTTGGAAGCACAGACAAAACTCTATCTGAATCTATATTATATATTGTAGCATAAAATAGCCTAGTCTAAACTATACATCCTTAACCAGTTTATAGCCACTATTCGTATCAACAACCTTTTCTGTTAACAAAAATCAGGTAACATTAGATATAAATTGTTACATATCCATAACAATATTTGGTGAAAAATGTATGACAAAATAGAAAAAAATTTCGTGTGACGCGTTTCGACCTTTAGTCGGATTATATTTTAAAGGACGGAACGCGTCCAACAGAAGCTTTTTTCCGCTTTTCTGTGTAAAACCACATCTCTGTTGCCTTGTGTCATCTTCTCTGTTGCCGTAAAGAAGGACAGATGTCACGTAACCAGTATCATTTTCTTTGTTACCAAAGAAATTCTTCTGTCTGCAATACTCTGCCCAGCTTTTTGAATATGTCCTGGCCATCCCAAACAGCCACTATTCGTATCAACAACCTTTTCTGTTAACAAAAATCGTATTAGATATAAATTGTTACATATGTCAATATTTGGTGAAAATGTATGACAAAAATAATTCGTGTGACGCGTTTCGACCTTTAGTCGGATTATATTTTAAAGGACGGAACGCGTCCAACAGAAGCTTTTTTCCGCTTTTCTGTGTAAAACCACATCTCTGTTGCCTTGTGTCCTCTTCTACATCTTTGAGGAAATTGTGCAACATTTGCTGCCGTAAAGAAGGACAGATGTCACGTAACATAACAGTATCATTTTCTTTGTTACCAAAGAAATTCTTCTGTCTCGCAATACTCTGCCTAGCTTTTGGAATATGTCCTTGGCCATCCCAATACGTCTACGGATCTCTGTATCGCACTTACCGTCCTCTGTCAAGACGCTTCTCAGATATTTAAACTTCTGCTTGATTGTAGTGTTCCCGAACTTTAAATCGCATTTCGGGCTGATCCTCTTACTAATGACCACGCATTCTTCTTGTAGTTTAGTTTAGGCTTAGTCCTTTTTTCTAACTCTCCATCGGTACCTTCTGTAGAAGATTTAAAAAAAACTTGGGCAATATTCCTTTTAAATAAGCGGGGTAAATTCTGTTACCAGTGCTACTCTCGATTGGAATTATAAAATCTTTCTCTTAAAACATTTTTTCAGGAAAATAGGTTTCTCATGTTCAGTAGCTGTTATCGATCTTTCCACTATTGAAAACGGATTCCTTTCTAAACTTTTATTTGAAATGATTTGGGAAGTCAACATCTAAATTACCTAATTATTTTCACACTATCTTAATATGATATCTATATTTTTTTGCGTTTGTAGGTCCCCCTTGAGAGGATACGGTATTATGGTGTATGGAGGATTGATTGGTAACGGGCGAGTTTTTAGGTTGAATGCTCAAATTGTAATGAGTGAATGGGTCGTGAGTCCGATCAGCTAGATATAAGATAGTGAAGCCCAGTCGCAAACCCCTCCCCTAATTTTCGGCCGCGTGCTATAATTGTATGTAACAGTTTTTTTTTTGTTTTTTTTTGTTTTTTTTTAAGCGTTTCACCCCAAGCAAGGCGGGAAGCCACTAGGACGCAAGGGGTTACAGAAAATTTTGAGCAAGATCAGATAGGAGTGATAGAAGAAAGGATGAGGAGAAGGGTAGTGGATATTTGGGTTGGAAGATGAGAAGGCCCGAAGTAAAAGAAGCAGACAGTTTCGACCGTGACGTGGGCAGAGAGGAGTTGGCACAACCTGTATCATAATGTGGCCTTAGGGTTGCCCACCGGAGGTGACTGCAGGGACACCTTTCCATGCGCGACATGGCACTACAAACGCCCCGGTATTATACAACTGTTGATCAGAGCAGCCGCTCAAGACGCTACGCAAGAGTTAGGGCTCCTAACTACCAGTCGGAAACAGCAATCAGAAAACTGTCAACCGTGTACCCTCAGAATAAAGAGGTGATGCCACAGACTGCACACATCACGGGAGAAACAGAGCTGCACTAATACAGAGGCCAGAGAGAGAGAGAGAGAGAGTACCGGGAACCCCTTCCTAAACAAGAAAACAAGGCGTAAGCCTCTACTCAAGTCCAAGAGAAGGTGGAGGAGTGTTGACCGGGCGGTAGGAGTACAATAAATACAAATATGCTATCCATTTTAACTGTTGCTGCTGCCTCTGAGATTTCTCTCGTGATGTCGTATCTGTTACTTGCTACAATCCTTCGTTTGTGATTCTGTAGGGTCAGTCACCAAGTCTCACGGACTTCACACAATCAAAGCCATTTTTAACAATTGACTAAGAAGGCATTTGGACATAGGTGTCTGTTTACATATTTCTGAACAGGTTTGGCGCCATGCACCCATCCATATGTAAGACTTGATCTGACGAGGCTATTTAAGAACCAAATTTGAATTATTACGTCAATGTTTTGGTTTTATAGCTGTTTGCGGCGTTTTGGCGAATTGAAGCCTATTCTCTTTCCCCTTTTCTAATACTGAATTTGTTATAACTGATCCATACACCAAGGTAATAGTTTAAATTAACCATTTCATCCAAATGCACTTTCCTAACAATGTGTCGCTTTACGACTACATCACGTCGAAACATCGGTAGACATACGATCACCGAAGACAAGCAATATCGAGCTAGGTCAGTACCCAGATGGGTGACCGCCTCGGAAAACCAAGTGCTGTAAGCTTAGATGCGTGTCTGGTGTAATGAATAACAAGCCGAATTTTGAGGTCGGAGAACTGAGTTTCAATTCCAGTTGGGTTCGTTATATTCATTTACTCACTAATACTCTTGAGAAAGGCATGAATCCACCTCTTCTCCCATAGCTATGATTTAATTAGTATCACTTGTATTAGCAAATCTTTATTATCAAAAAGAACTCTTAAAATCTAAAAATATTTTTGGCTTTAAATAACCTGCAAAAGATTGATAAAGCATAAAACACAAATGTGATTATAAAAGTTGGTAGAAAGAAATTTGAAAATCGACATTTTTTGAATTCGAAATACTCACTCCATTGCAATTAAGTCGTAAAGAAAATCCTATGTGACACATAGACGAGTACAATGGAATGTCACATTATTTCATGAAATAAATTAAATCGAGGTCAGCCTTTCAAATGTCGCTTGGCGTAAAATTCGAAATCTCCATGAAAAAAAGGAAGGACGGACAACTATCAGTGATTTTTCAAGCATAGCTTAGATGTGACACAAGGCGGAAATTAGAGAGCACCCAGTGAGAATCGAACTCACTACTCAGCCGTAATTGTTCTGGCGAGACAAGCTTGTCAACCATTACACCACCTCGGGGTGCCCAGGACAGACAACTATTAAGGTATGCGTGGGGTTTTCGTTAGTTATATACATAGAAAAATCTGGTTAAATCAATCAGAATTAGAACTAAAAAAAAAATTTGCCGTAAACATAAAGAAATTTAGCAGCACCCTGATTCATGAAAAAAATCATTGCAGATAATTCTCTCGCTAAAAAGAAATAGGAATATTGTGGTCACATAAAAAAATTGTCTCTCCCTGGAGCAAGAAGGTAGACGTTTTATTGCTTTAGAAAACTGAATTAAAATCTACATTTTATTTTTTCAGTCAGCTTTTCTTAAATAGGTTTTAGTGAAAACATGTTGAGGCATTTTTAGAATTAAACAAGTTAATTTAACTTATATTACGGTTTTGAAATAAATGTTTCATTCAACTGTGTACATTTAATTAACACTAAATGGCACAGACAGCAGAGACAACAGAAAAAGCAAGCCTGGGAGATCGATTATTTTTATTATTCAGTACTGTTTAGTCGAGACATGTTTTTGATAATAAGATGTTAGGTGTGATAAACTGTCTGTAGTAAATGCTTTTTCTCATTAAGAGCAATTAGCGTATATTTTATGAAATGCCTTGCGAGACAGCCATATTGTACAAAAGTTCGTTTAGATATTTCATTGTTTCATAAATATGTATAGATCATGATTTTACTACATAAAATATTCTAAATACATTTTTCATTAACTCAAGAAATATAATTGGTATACAAAATGCAGCCTTCAAAAGAAGCAGATGAGTCAAGGTCATTATGACAAAATACTTGCCTAAAAATATATATCCAGATAAGGACAAATGAAATATAATTCGACTGCACGTATATATATATATATATATATATATATATATATATATATATATATATATATATATATATATATATATATATATATATATATATATACATATATATATATATATATATATATATATATATATATATATATATGTGTGTGTGTGTGTGTGTGTGTGTGTGTGTGTGTGTGTGAAAATATATAGAAAATAGGAAAGAACTCGTCAGGTAAATAATCCGACGTTCTTTAGTATTTTTTTTAAAAAAAAAAAAAACAGTGCTCGATACAAAAGTAGAGCCTAGATATAATTATTTATTTAAAAATATGATTCCTCCGCTACATAAGAGTTCCCATGTTTCAAAAACAAGAGCTGAAACCTTCATTATAATTATTAGAATTAAATTGAATTAAAATACCAAGCTCTGTTTCATCTTCAAGCGAAATTTTAGGAATAAACTAATTGTGAAATTTACGCATCTTTTTTAAGCATATTCATTATTAAAATTAAATTACTATGGAAAAGACTAGAACAATTATTTAAATAAGGGACGTAAGAGTTAATAATTTGTATCAATATCTCATTTCGGAAAGAGGTCAAGTCATGTTAGGGTTGGGGTGTCTAAATTAAAGCGGAAGATGGCATTTAAACTCATACAGTCTAGTCTGGTCTATGGAGATTTTTGTTTTTTAAATTTTTTTCTAAAACGGTTGTGTGTTGTATTGAGCTATAATTTCTTTTTTTTTTTGATGTTTTGACTTCATAAAGATTTTTTTTTATTATTGGGTAGGGCTTCTAAATTTTTTATTTAGACTATGGAGTTTAAAATATATACTTATTATTTAATTGTTTGTTTGTTTATTATGCTAATTATTTAATGCGAAAATTTGATGATGTTGGCAAAAAAAACCGTTAACTGATAATTTTCATTCAGTAATTTAATAATGTTTAGTTTTTCATGTAGGCATAAAGGGCATGGGTCATCCCAGGTTTTACAAGTTCTTGTTCTATTTATAATTTTTTACTTTTATATATATATATATATATATATATATATATATATATATATATATATATATATATATATGCAATCTTCATTAAATATGACAGACAAGGTGCTTTGACTAAGTTTTTATAAAATTTCTCGTATGATGTTATAATTTTTTTTCTTTTTCGTAGATACATTATACAAAAACTGTCCAAATGCTTTATTTTTTCAGGCGCTTTTGGCTATACCGTCAGCCATTTTCAAGGATGAATTATATTTACTGTTAACTGGAAATGTACTGTATTATGTATGTATTTAGCATTATAAAATATTTTATTTAAAAAAAAAAACCCAACATATTGTGTTCATGCTCGTAGTTGTATTATCAACAAGTATGTTGCGAATACAGTAACTACAGTAAACATTAATTACTTCTGATAAAATGATTATTTCTCTAGGAAAATATTGACCATGTTTTGGAAGAAATTTTATTTGCCTGGAACTACGTAAAATTATATAATTTTACGCATGACTATAATTGGTTTATACACATACATATAAACGAAGCTAAAACACTAAGATATATAGTGCTTAATCTGGGTTTAATTTTCCTCAATTACTGTACCCTCTATCTATTTCTCAGTTAACTGACATGCCCTCTATTTGTTAATATATATATATATATATATATATATATATATATATATATATATATATATATATATATATATATATATATATATATGTATATATATGTATATATATATAAATATAAAGTGAACGTTGAAGTCAACACTCAGAGGCGACAGAGTGTTTCAAGCTAAACGCATTCATGGTCTGCCCATTGAGTCTTGCATGAAACAGTCTGTCGCCACTGAGGGTTGACTTCAATGTTCACTTTTATATTTACATACGCTCAATACCTAATATCGAACACTTTATCCCATAAATATAGCACACCTTAAAACTATATTTCTTCACATGTGCACACACACACACACATAAACACACACACATACATATATGTAACAACACTTCTTCCTTATATATATATATATATATATATATATATATATATATATATATATAGATAGATAGATAGATAGATAGATAGATAGAGACAGAGAAAGAAAGAAAGAGAGAGAGAAAGAGAGAGAGAGAGAGAGAGAGAGAGAGAGAATAAATTAAATAATCTTTAAAGCGAAAATAACAAAAAATGTCCCTACCAATCCTAAACCTGCCAAAGAAGAAAATAGGATAAGAAATGAAAAAAATGGAAACAAAAGAAGAGTGACATCTGGCTAAGAAATCAAGTTAAGTCAGAGCTATAAAGAAAACTTATATATATATATATATATATATATATATATATATATATATATATATATTGTCATAAGAAACTAAATCAGACATCTGTATTATTTTTTGCATTCAGATATTTGCATATTTCTGCAGACAATGACTTAAGCTCACGAAGTATAACGTCCAAGTTAAAAATTCAGTTGTTTTTGTTATTTATGCTAATAAGATTTAAAAAATTCAATTCATTCGATTTAAGAAATCCTGACCGAAATAGCATTCCGAAAGACCGTATTCCTAGACAGTTTCGCAATCAGATTTTTGAAGAGTTCAAGAGCTGTCAGTATTTTAAAAGAACGTACAGCTTTCAAACAACATAAGACAGTTCTGTTCTTTAATTAAAATATCTTTCATGAAAAGCCGGAAACTAGGCTACTGATGCCAAAGCTATGTTACTGTAAATATTACTGTTTCGATTTATTATAAGATTTCTTCACCAATAAAGTTTTAAACGAGCGATAGAATTTCGAGAACATTTATCTGATGCCTTTTATTGCCTACTGAGAATTTTTCTATCACTCTCTTATAATATTTTCAAAATCTTCGGTTCGGTTATGGTCAAGTACATTTACCATCGTCTTTCGAAATCATTTTGTGTTTCCACCTCCTAATGTGTCATAGACAAACTCACTAATAAATCGATCCTAGATCTACGCAATAAGTGTTAAATATTTTGGGCACAGTTAGCAGAGAGGGAACACCTTACTTTGTAAATATCAGAAAAAACTGAGATGGCAACTCTTGCGAATAACGTCTGTCAAATGTCGTAAGCAGACGTTTCAGCGCGAAAAATCCAGTTGGAAAAAACAAATACTTATTATAATTTTGTTAAAAGCGCACTGAAGCAATCTTTTAACCACCATATCCCTTCAGGATGTGGGTGATCACCACTGCCTCTCCTTTTTTATTTCTAACCCATTTTTAACCACTGTTCCGATATTCAATTACACAAGCTCTCTATGTATGTTATAGGGTCTTTCTCTCTCCCCCTCTTGTCTTCAATATATACTGTGGATGTCCAATTTTGCAAGCCTTATTTATCCTGTTTCTTCCAGATACTAATCACAAGCATCGTTTTTGTTTCTATATTCCTTAAAACTTTCACATATTCGGTCTATGTTATTTTACCATTCTTCTGTAGAACCACACATCAAATCTTCTCGTTTTTGAGTAAATTGTCTAGAATTCATTGCTATATAGCATAAATGATCTTGCAT